GATTGCTGAGTCATTTCTGTCACTAACTGCCAAAAACGGGCCTGTCACACCTTCCAGGTATGTCTAAGTTTGAAAAGAAAAAAAAAAAATGTGCTTCAGCACTTTTCACACAGGTCAGAGTCAAGTCACCCAAGGGTGACACAGAACCGATTCCTTCGCATATGGAGTAAGTGCTGGAACGTAACTTGCCATCTGGAACCGAAGGCTGGAAGCTGGGTTAGTCCATCAGTTGGAGTTGTCTGGGTGCAGCAAAGCCGGCCAGCTATCTGCTCAACAGCTGAGCAGCAGGGACAACATGCTTACCTGGGATCTCAAAACATTCAAAAGCATCCTTCCTAAGGAAAGAACTGGACAACAAAGGATCTGTCTGTTACAGTGAAAATTCAGTGAAGAGGTACTTTCACAGGTTCTCTCCGATGCCTGGAAAACGGGTGTTGATAAGGAGGAAAATGACAACCAGGGCACCGGGCAGTTGTTTTATGACCCAAACAGCCATGCAGGTGGTTAAATGGGGAGGATGTTAATAAAACCACTGGCTGCGCCTGTCCATGAATATTTTATTTTCTTAAAAATAAGTTTTTATGCTTTAAGTATTTAATCACTACAACTCTATAATTTTTTATAATTTAATTTGTACTTTGAACTTTTAAAGCTGGCAAGTTAAATATATTTAGTAGTTCTTAGATTAATAACACTTTATATTTCTAAGAAAAATACAAGACATAATCAATTAATAGATTCAATTCTGTCCTCTAGGTTTTTTATGAGGCAAATTTAAACTTTAATTTTTATTTGCCAGTGGCTCTGGGAAACTAGGTTTTGTTTATTTGACTGTAAATTATCACATTCTTTAAGATGGCTACTGGCAGGACACTATATTAACTGTCTGCTGGGGGAAGGGCCTTTACCCTTTCCTCCCTCAACAAAGGATGTAGCCAGTTACCTGGACTACTTAGACCTTTAGTATTAATGCATTATTTATTCATCTATATTTTAATAATTTCTTTGAGATTCTAGAATCAATTATAATTATTTTAAGGTATTTACTTTGGATAAATTCTATGACAGAGACAAATTTATTTATTTTCTTGAAGGCCTTAAAAGTTAACTTTTCAATAAGGTTCACTAGCATTTTGAAAACTACTCTTTATTATGGAAATGCAAATCTTGTTGCTGGAATTAACTTGAATTTCTTTCAAGAAGATTTTTTCGCTGTTTTTCTCAGGAAAAAGAATCAGTTCTGGGTTTTTCATTTCTGTAGCTCTTGTAAAGAGTTAAAGCTAGTTCAAGACTTATCTAATATCCGAAATCTGACATGCGCGCATTCTGTCTTATACTAGCTTTCTCTTTACATGTGTACAGATATCCCAGACGCATTTCTAAATTTTCAAAACTTTTTTATGGCGAGAAAGGAAACTTATAATTTATTATAGTAGGAGAGCGGCTTCTATATTGGATCGCCTCATGCCTCTCCCTTCCCCCACATCATGCTTACTTCAGGGGAAGCATCAGTAATAGATCTGGCTGAATTTCTTTTCATGCTTAAAAGATAGACAGATCTCAATTTTTTTTTCTTCCTTTTTGGCTTTCTGAAATAACAACTAATACCCAATTTGGCCAAGATTTGCATTTCCCTGTGAGTTCTCTTATAATTTTTAAACAAGGCATTAAGCAGTCTTATTGCAAGTAATCTTAATGTGGGAGAGCAGACGGCCCTTCCCTCTCCAGCTGCCTTTGAATTTATCCGCATCAGAGGCAGTTTCAGCAGTGGAGTTCCACTTACTACAGATTTTAAATTCCATACATATACTAAGATTCTAATTTCAACAATAAACAACATTATTTTGTGATCACATAGACTTCGACATTCACTCTAAAGAGCACTTTTACTTTGTCCCATGCTTTACACAGGCACCGTGAGACAAAAGCATGCTGTGCAGGACCTGTATAAAAAGATCCCTGCTCTGTTCTTGCCCCATTTTATTACTCCTGAATTTAAGAAAAACCCAATCCGCCGTTACTCACTGTTCCGTCGCGACCTTTACCCACGGCGACCTTCCTACTCGTCCCAGTGTCTCCAGGTCCCTGTTCACGGGCGCCAGTTACCGGATCCAGCCGGCATCACAGGTCCTGGAGGTAGGCTAGGAGGTTTTAAGAGAAATAAAGACAAGAGAAAGCGGGGCTTCAGGAGGACTGCTAGTCCATGATGAGACTGCAGCAACTTTATTAGTTGCAAGCGTACATTTATGCAGCTTTCCTGGGCATTTCTCCAAGTGCCCCTTTCCCAGGACAAGGCAGCCCGACAGCTCCTCAAGACATTCTTGGAAAAGATACATAGAGCAAGCATCTGGCTAGATATCGTTGAGAACAGCCTAGCTGAGAACATCCAGATAAGTCGTGCATCACGCGCACTCCCTAACAATGGGGCTATGGTCTGCCCTGTCCTTGGTTGACCCTGAAGGCTTAGGGGAGAGCAGGTAGGCGTCCCTACCCTATGCTCCATCCTTGCCCTCGGGCCCCACGGAACACGGCTTCCCACACTACGTTCCCTGTTCTTCGCTACATCGTTGCTCTAATCTAACCCCTTAATTTTATAGATGAGGTTCGGGGAAGGGACTTGTCTCACGCGAACTTTCACACAAAGGAACTATAACAGTTGCGTCCCTTCTGAGTCCCGTCTGGTCAAGAAATTTTCAAAGAAGTTCAGATTTAAGAAACATTTATTCAGCACCTGCATCATTTCAATTCATACTCAAAACAGCCCCCTCCAAATCCTGTGCGGATTAGAGGGGGAAACAGGCTCAGAGGGATAATTCACCCCCAAGTCAGTTCAGCAAAAACCGCGGCACGGGTACCCGCCTGCGTCCCCGCTGGTCGCGCAGAGACCCCGCCCCCTCGGATCAGCCAATGAGAAGCAGAGGAGCCTGGTCGCCTGGGAAACCGCGGGACAACAAGATGGCGGTGCCGCGGGGCGGCTCCTCGGCCCTGCCTGGTGAGTCCCGCCCGCCCGGGGCCGTTTTGCCCGCGGAGTACTCCACGCATTCCGGGGCCTGGCCCCAGAGAACCGCGGGCCCAGAGCCCAGCGGGCCGGCTTCCCCTGCGGGCTCCCTGCGTCCTGGGATCGGATTGGGGTCCCACCCACCATGGCCACGCGTGGAGGGGGCGACGCGGCCCCAGGGCGGGGTTAGGTGATGAAATTGGTCTCTCCGAGAGCACTGTAAAAAATGGAAACCCAAATGTCCATCAATGAATGAACGAATGAATGAATGAACAAATATGGTATGTCCCTATAATGGAATATTATTTGGGGGTCTGGGGTGCAGCTTGCCGGGCCGGCAGGCTCTGGGGGCACCCGGACTTGGGGGAGCCAACAAGGGCATGTAGTGATGAAAGATGTCAGTCAGGCACAGTCTTGACTCGGGCCCCAAAGGTGTATAGAGGCTCAGAACACAGCTTTTCCCTCAAAGCCCAAGCCTTAAGGGGGAAGCAGTGCAACCTTTAGGCTTCCCAGGGAGGGCGGGGAAGACACAGTTTGCCCCCCGGGAAGTCTCCAGGTGACATGGGATCCCTATCTTCAGGGATCCCAGGTCTGAATAGGAGACACAGCCCCAGGGGCAGGGGGCCCCAGACTGATGGAAAGATGTAGTCAGGGTACTCCTATAATCCTGGGAAATCTTAGCTGGAGACATTGTTGGATTGGCCTGGAGTGAGAGTGGAAAAAGGGAAGTCAGTTGTGGGCCATTGTGACTGCCCCAAAGAAGGACAGTGAAAGCCGCACTAGAATGGCCAACAGTGGGCATAGGAAGGAGGAGTTATGTGTGATAAACATTGGAGGTTTACCTTCAGGATTTGGTAAAATCCTGGGATTGAGAGAAGGAAGGAGAGAAAAATGTTGTGGTTGGATGGTGAGGTCCCATTAAGAGGGGGAAAGATGTTGGGTTTGGCTTGGGGACCAGGTCCCCCACCCTCCCCCATTTTTAAAAAATATATTTTTATTGATTTCAGAGAGGAAGAGGGAGAGATGGAGACATCAATGATGAGAGAGAATCATTGATCCGCTGTCTCCTGTATGCCCCACACTGGGGATCGATCCCAAAAGCCAGGCTTGTGTTCATAAGTGAATGATCCCTTAACTGGGATGGAACCAGGGACCCTTTAGTCTACACCACATGTGTCAAACACAAGGTCCGCGGGCCAAATCCGTCCCGCCAGGCCTTGCAATGTGGCCCGCACCGCGCTGTCATCACTGCACTCCGCTGTGTTTCCATCACAGTGACAGTTTATGACTGTTCAGTAAACCATTCGGCCCGAGATTTAGGCTGGATTTTAGATTTTGGCCCCTTCTCTGATTGAGTTCGACACCCCTAGTCTACACAGACTGTTGCTCTATCCACAGAGCCACATCGTTGAGGGCCCCTCCCCCCCCCATGGTTGATTTATTGAGATATAAAATATAAATTTCAATAGTTTTTAGTATATTCGTAGGATTGTGCAACCATCACCCCAATGAATTTTAGAACTTTTCATCGGCCAAAAAGGACACCCTGTATGTACCCTTTAGCAGTTACCTTCCATATACTCCACAGCAGCCCCCAGCCAGAGGCCAACACTGATCTGATAGGTCACTATATGAAGTGCACATTCTGGACATTTCATATAAACCGAACCATAAAAATATGTAGTCTTTTGTGATTGACTTCTTCCCCTCAGCATAATGTATTCAAGGCCCACTCACTTTGTAGCATGTATTTCATTCGTTTTTATTATTATTCATTGATTTCAGAGGGGAAGGCAGAGGGAGAGAGAGAGAAACATCAGCGATGAGAGAGAATCATTGATTGACTGCCTCCTGCACGCCCCACTCTGGAGATGGAACCCGCAACCCCCGCTTGAGCACACTGCCATTGCCCAGGCCGCTGAGTGCTCGGGCCGGCCTTGATTTTCTTGGTGGCGTGGGTGGTGGTAGTGGAGGTGATGGAGGAGGTGGCAGAGGTGGCGGATCAAGCGGAGTTGGCGGAGGCGGCGGAGGTGGCAGATCTGACGAATTTGGCGGGTTTGGGGGAGGCGGCGGAGGTGGCGGATCTGGCGAATTTGGCGGGTTTGGGGGAGGCGGCGGAGGTGGCTGACCTGGCAAATTTGGCGGGTTTGGGGGAGGCGGCGGAAGCGGCGGAGGTGGCTGATCTGGCGAATTTGGCGGGTTTGGCGGAGTTGGCAGAGGCGGCAGAGGTGGCGGATCTGGCGAATTTGGCGGGTTTGGCGGAGTGGGCAGAGGCGGCGGAGGTGGCGGATCTGGCGAATTTGGCGGGTTTGGGGGAGGCGGCGGAGGTGGCGGATCTGGCGAATTTGGCGGGTTTGGCGGAGTTGGCAGAGGCGGCAGAGGTGGCGGATCTGGCGAATTTGGCGGGTTTGGCGGTGGCACTGGTGGTAGGTGCGGAACTGTTTTCCAAGATTCCACTCTGTATCTGCAAGAGAAGTGGGGCAAGCTCAGGGGACTTTTGAACATCACGTTTGTTTAGAGACAGAGATTCCGCTACCCAATGCAATAGTGGTCACTTCTCTGTCCCATGATCATGACGCCTGTCACCGGTTTAGCTGCTTCCTGCCTTGACACAGTCCTTAGCCCGCCTTCCACAGAACCGTCCTGTCATCTCCAGACCCCCAGCTCCTCCAGCATGTGGAAGACAGGGGAGGCCGTGGCCCCCAGCCCTCCTGACCTTACCAGTTGGGCCAGAGGCTTAACCTATCTGAGCCTCAGTTTGCTCGTATTCTGAATGGGGAGAAGAGCGCATTACAGTGGAAGGGGTGGAGGGGTGGGGGGTGTGACATGGGAAGGCACCTGCCAAAGTGTGGGTGGGTGGATGGAAGGATGGGGAGAGTACAATTTCCTGCCCGAGGACGTGGCCAGATGGTGATCAAACTGTTCTCAATGCTTGATCAAGCTGCAGCTAAAGCTGCTCTCGATGGAGATGAAGCTGTTTTCGATGGTGCTCAAGCTGTTCTTGATGCTTCATCAAGCTGCTCTGGATCAAGAACTCGATGGCTCCCAGCTCTTACACTGACCAGAGCCCTCTGGGCGCGGGAAGCTGCTAAAGCTGCTGCTGGAAGAGCAGGGCTTTGAGACGTCGCCCATTTCCGGAGTGGGTGACTTCTCCCTTCTCTCCGTTCAGAACACCTAGCCTTCTCTCCCTGGGGGCTCCCCGCCACCTCCCAAAAGGATCGGGTTCCACACGGTCATTTCCTGGCCCCTTCCAATCAAACCACTGCCCCAGGTTCCTTGTGGGCTGATGCCACCCTCACTCGGGGCTGTCTTTCCAGGCCTCTAAGTTCACCAGGACTCCACAGCGCCCCTCGGGTGCGTCAGGGTTCCTGGCACCCTGAGCGTGCTCCCAGCCTCGGGGACAGGCTTCTGTTGGGGGCAGCCTCAAGGAAGTCTGAACACAGCCAGGAGGGCTGGGAGGCAGGGAGCCAGACCCCCCTTGGTCCTTGGTTTGCCCCCTGGACCCTTTCTGCCTCTGTTCCCCCGGGAGAAGACGGGGTGCCCAGGAGTCTGTGGACACCTGCTTCCTCCGACGCAAGCAGGTCTGGGGAATCTTGGGCAGTGGTGCCAAGGGCTGGGTGCTGCTCTTACCTGGATCATAATCAGGAAGATGGTGGTGACTAGGAGGAAGTAGAAGCCCTTCATCTTGGGAGGATCTTGGTGGCAGCTTTTGGAAATGAGCACAGTGCTGCCTGGTGCGCTGTTTTTGAACCAGAGAGGCGGGGTGAAAGGGAGAGGAAGGAGGGCCTAGGGCGGGAAGGGGATGTTTTCTTTTCTTTTTTTTTCTTACAGATTTCAGGGTTGAGGACAGTGGCCCTAGGTTCTAGGACCCTGGCAGACGACGCATTCTGGGTTGGGACCCAGACCCATCTGAAGGGATAGGAGGTGGACAAACAAGGGGCAGCTGTGGGGCAGTAAGCAGGGGCTCCAGGCTTGGAGCAATGCCTACTGGGGATTGAACCCTAGTTTAATTACCTATCAACTCTGGAACCCTAGGCCAGAAACTGTACCTTTCTGAGCTTTTAGCAAAAGAACAGCCATAGGATTAAATGTAATATAACCCATTTAAACATGTGAACACAGTAAATAGTATATACTTAAAAAAATTTTTTTAGCCAGTTTGGCTCAGTGGATAGAGCATCAGCCTGTGGACTGAAGGGTCCCGGGTTCGATTCTGGTCAAGGGCATGTACCTGGTTGCAGGCTCCTCCTCGGCCGGGCATGCAGAAGGCAACCAATTGATGTGTTTCTCTCACATTGATATGGCTCCCTGTCTTTCCCTCTCTCTAAAAAATCAATGGAAAAATGTCCTCATGAGGTGAGGATTAAAAATAAAAGTAATAAGATTGGGGCAGGGTTAAGGAGCTAAAAGAGAAGAGGTTGGGATAGATTTAGATTGAGAGGTAAGGTTGTATGTGGCTCCATAGGTGCAGAACATTAACATTTGGGACGGGGTGGGAGGGTAGATTTCTGTGAAAACAGAGGAGCCTGGTGTTAGTAACCTGGGGATCCAGCTTTCAGTGGGCCCATTTCCTTTCAGCCTCACATTTCTCATTTCAAATAGGAAGACTATAGCGAACATTTCAGAAGTTTCTTCAGACCTAGCATTTTGTGATTTGGGCAAAGAATATAGCACATAGCCCAAACTGGTTTGGCTCAGTGGATAGAGCGTTGGCCTGCGGACTGAAGGGTCCCAGGTTCGATTCCGGTCAAGGGCATGTACCTTGGTTGTGGGCACATCCCCAGTGGGGACTGTACAGGAGGCAGCTGATTGATGTTTCTCTCTCATCGGTGTTTCTAACTCTCTATCCCTCTCCTTTCCTCTCTGTAAAAAAATCAATTATATATATATATATATATATATATATATATATATATATATATATTAAAAGAATATAGCACATGGGTTGTTTGTGTCAATCTAGGATGGATGGAAGGGGTGGCTAGCGGAGGGACAAGCAGATAACTAAACTGACTTGTCCAACTGACTTGCCCAACATAATAAATGGTAGAGCTAGTCTCATTTGAACTTGAATCCAGATCTCTTGAAACTACATTCATGTATGTAACCTATGGGGCTGCTTAAGTGTCTTGATTCCCTGTAAATTTCCATCCTGGAGGATCTAGATGTTGGCTCTGTAGCCCAATCTCCTTCTCTTAGTCTGTTTGGTGCCTAATTTGCATACCAATTCGTAAAAGAAAACCCCCTCTCACTTCCCTTTGGGCCTTCTGTTGCAAACCTCCTATTGCAAGCCTTGGAGAAACCTGAGTAGGACCTTAAGGGCATCTAGCCCTGGCTACAAAGAACTGAGAATCCACTGGTGGGAGGAAGTCAAGAAGTGCAGAGGGAGGGGGCAGAGCTTTCTATAAATGTATGGGACTAGAGATAGAAAAACTATTGTTCAAGATCCACTAAGAAAAGGTAAAGTCCCTCACCCCCAACTAGGCTTTGGGTTGGGTCCATGAAATACATCGGAGGAGTGAGAGTGAATAGGAAACAACAGCCCAGTCCTCACAGAAACGATAATACAAACAATTACATGGAAGATCCAGACAATGGAATTGCCAACTAAACTTTTACATAGCAATGCTCAGTATATTCAAAGATACATAAGACAAGATTGAGAACTGGAAATTGTTGAAAGGAACCAAATGGAATTTCTAGAACATAAAAACACAATAGTAGAAATTAAGAACTCAGTAACCAAGGTTTATCATCAGATTGGACACAGATGAAGAGAGAATTCGTGAACTGGAAGCTAGATCCCGAGACAATGTTATAGCATAATGTATTTCTTAAGTGCCTGCGGTGTGTCAGGTACTGGTCTAGGCAATGGGTACAAGGAAGGGAACAAAAAGGCGGAGTTCCTGTGCTTATGGAACAGACATTCAAATGGGGGAAGACAAATAAAAAATTGTGGCAATTCGGGTTTCAGTAAATGCTATGAAGAAGTCAAGAGGGAAAGGTAAGAAAAGGGAAATGAGAGAACACTTTCTAGGTAAATGTTTGTGTGTTGAGACCTGCAGAACGAGAGGGACCTAAGCATGTAAAACACTCAGCCCACTCCCTGTTCCAGATTCACGGTGTTCCTTGATGACTGTCCCCAAGGCCCGTCGCAGTGCCACGAAGGGCAGGTGCTCCGTGTGGCCTTGAGCTCAGTGATGGAATGAAATACTACAAGCGTGAAGGGAGGGGAAGGGGGTGACAGCGTATCTTACAGGATGATCTGCTTGCATTCTTTTTTTTAAATATATTTTTTATTTTTATTTTTTTTAAATATATTTATTGATTTTTTACAGAGAGGGAGAGAGAGGGATAGAGAGTTAGAAACATCGATGAGAGAGAGACATCGATCAGCTGCCTCTTGCACATCCCCTACTGTGGATGTGCCCGCAACCAAGGTACATGCCCTTGACCGGAATTGAACCCGGGACCTTTCAGTCTGCATGCCGACGCTGTATCCACTGAGCCAAACCAGTTTTGGCATGAAGGTACTTTTAAAAAATATATATTTTTATTGACTTCAGAGAGGAAGGGAGAGGAAGAAATAGAAACATCAATGAAGAGAGGGATTCGTTGATTGGCTGTCTCTTGCAACCCAGGCATTGTGCCCTTGACTGGAATCAAACCCGAGACCAACTTGGTCCGCAGGGTGATGCTCTCTCCACTGAGTCAAAGCAGCCAGGGCCCCAATAAACTCTTTAGTCCCAAAGGGGTCATGACTGATAAAGATCTTTAGGAAATTACCTAAAAGAAAAGTGGACTATGTCTATTCTGAAGAGAAGGGACTTCTAACTCCAGGGCTGGGGTCTCCTACAGGTGGGAAAACAGGCCTGGAAAGATCCTCATTTAGGACCTCTCTTTTCCCAGTCCAGGACCTCCCCACCATTGTCAGGCAGAGGGCATCCTCTGTGGGACGGAATGAAGAGGCCAGTGGCCACCATCCTAGAGTCAAGGGAATCCTGGGTGAACTTGGAAGCTGGACAGATGGCCCTCCAATGTCCTCCCGAAACGCCAATCTGCTGGGAACCCAGAGACCTTGGAACGATATTCAAAACCCTTTAAATTGGGGAATAGAGAAATAGAGGTCAGACAAATAAATATTAGATGAGGTTAGACTCTCATTTTCTTAACTTTGTTTTTGGGAAACACCTTTTTAAAAATAATAACATGGCAAAGTTATGATACATTTAGTTTACATAATCATCCCAAGAAGTAGGCTTTTATTAGGATCTCTATGACAGATACAGAAACTGGCAGAAAAGGGCAGTCGCTTCAGCAGGAACAGCCAGCTAGCATGTGACAGAGCCCAGCCTCCTAGACTTAAGTTATGCTGACCCATAGTATAGTCTCATCTATAGCTATTATTGTTTTCCAAATTTCTACAATGAAAACGCATACTTTCATAATAAGGCTCCAACTTCCCCTAATAAACGTTATTAATAAAATAAAATAAAATGGCCTGCCAGGCTAGAGGGCTCCCATCTGTCTCACACACACTAGATACTTGCTGAGTGCCTGCTGCAGGACCTCACAGGGTCCTGGGTAGGAGGAAGGTACGTGGTAAAGCCTGATGCCTAGGTATCTGCCAATTCATGCTTCCCACTCTTACTGGGCAGGAAGCACTGAACAGAACACAGCAGGTAGGTCTCGCGAGGCCAGCGCGCCTCCCTTCCCCCCTCATCCCCCGCACCAGTTCCCATGATGTTGTCCTCGCTGAAGGAACACAGCAAGGTGACAATATAAAGCTGCTAATCCCCTGACCATGGCTCCAACCCACCCAGAAACGCTTGGCCCCAGATGACCTCTTAGCTCATACATCAAGCCTCAGAGAATTTTCTGGGAGCAGCTCAGCAGTAAGAGAGCTCTCCCAGGTCCAACTTCCGGTCACACTTTCTACTGAACCCCTTCTTTGGCACGGGCACGTACCAGCTACAACTTGGCTTGCCTTTGCCTGCCTGTTCCAGACTCTAGAGACAGGCAGTTCTGGGTCTTAATCTACTTCTGATGCTTTCTACCTGCGTAGTCTTTTTTAAAAAAAAATTTATTTCAGAGAAGAGGGAGAGGGAGAGAGAGATAGAAACATCAATGATAAGACAGAATCATTGATTGGCTGCCTCCTGCATGCTCCACACTGGGGATCCAGACATGAGCCCAGGAATCCAACTGTGACCTCCTGACTCTCAATGACTGAGCCATGCAGGTGAGGCCTACCTACATAGTTTTTTGTTTTGTTTTGTTTTCTGCATCAGGTCGGTTTAATGGATATTTACTAAACATTTTATCCCAAAAGCAACAGAATATACATTCTTCTCAAGTGCCCATGCAACACTTTTTTCCAGATAAAAACACACTGTCTTGCCGAAACCCGTTTGGCTCAGTGGTGGAGCGTCGGCCTGCAGACTGAAAGGTCCTATGTTCGATTCTGGTCAAAGGCATGTACTTTGGTTGCGGACACATCCCCAGTACAGGGTGTGCAAGAGGCAACTAATCTATGATTCTCACGATGTTTCTAACTCTCTATCCCTCTCTCTTCCTCTCTGTAAAAAATCAATAAAATATATTAATAAAAACAAACAAACAAACAAACAAAAAACACTGTCTTCATTCCAAGAACAAGAAATTCTACCTAATACTTCTGGCTATTTTAATTTTGACACCTGAGATACTTCTACTCATGCAAGTCATA